AGAGCGTATTGTTTGATCGAGTAGAAACTCAGGCAGCGGATACTCAACAGGAGCAAAAGGCTGAAGAAACGATACCTGAGTCTAGTGCACCTCGATACGGATGGAAAAGGACACGAGTCCTCCGAGAAAAAAACTATGTGTCATGGCATATAAATGTAGAAATGTAACATCGAAGCGATAACAAAACACCAAATTAAATCAAAGTAGGTGAAAAGAAAAACTTAAACTATAAGTAAAATGGAAAGCACATCACAAAAGACCTCGTTTAAAAATTCTGGAAAAAGTGTGTCCCTTAGCTTGAATTGCTTACAGAAAGGTATGACCCTCCCCTTTAGGTCCTCACTTTTACTGATAACCTTCCCCTCTGAGGCCCCAGCCCTACCCCCCAAGAAAAAACGTACCTTTCCTTAATGTTGCAAGCCAAACATGACAAAATTGAGTTGAGTTCAAAACTACCTATCGAATTTCAGTGGTCGATATGTGAGATTTTAATAGGCTAGTTTCGAATTACTTTTCGAGTAAGTCTGATTTTTAGCATCAAGTCGAGGCTGAGGGGAATAGGAGTCGTCTCAACATGGCAGGGAATGATGCCTTCTTCACAAATATGAAAGTTGCTGAGCTACGGAAATTCTTAAAGGAAAGGGGTATTCAAATTTCTGTAAACGGTAAGAGTAGGAAAAGGGCAGAACTGCTACAGCTTTGCAAGAACGCAGCTGAAATAAAAGTTCCTGAACTTGAAAAGAAAACAGAGCAATGCGACGAGTTGATTACGTTGCCAGGAGAAAAATTACTTCCCCATCCATTTTCGCTGAAGTTTTGGACTCATGACTTCACCGGTATTTCATACTTCAGGATTCCCGATAGCTGCCATTATCTGGTTGGAAAAGATGGTTACGATGAAGACTGTTTACGGTCGTATAAAAGTCCTGAGGGTTTTTGCTTATTTATTGAGGGGTATGGGGAGGATCTGAAGTACCACGATTTAACTGATGCTGGGACAGATAAACCGACTGGATACTGCTATTTCCAGTTCATAGTCCTTTCCTTTGAAAGCTTCTTCTCTATGAACTTTGTTTTTATGAAGGACGTGGCCATGATCATTCAGAGCAACTTCAGTAGAAACACGGATAATTTGGGCGTGAAGTACTCCTTTGCTGTCTTCGTTAGCGTTTTCGTTTTCCCGCTCATTCGACCTTTTTTCGCGTTGACTTGGACCTCTACGGACTGTAAGCTGATTAAATATTGTTGGAACCGTGCCGTGTGTTAACCTTTTAGTTCCAGAAAGTGTCTTCACGACTTTTTAGTCTTAAAGTGTTCGGAGCATATATGCAAGTTCTTGATGGACGTGAACTCCTTATCAGCGCGACGACAGTAGGCGCTTCCTTTCTTTCTTAGACTCTCTTCGCCTGAAAACTCGGAAAAGTTGAGGTCCGACCTTTCAGTTATTTTTGCACACAGAAATGGCACAAAACTTCATATTCGACTTACATTCACACTCCGATCTTGCTTTCAAAATAAGCGCCCCTTAGCCTCAGCTTGGTGCTAATAATTAGTTACCAGACTATGTCGTAAAAACAATTTGAAATTAGCCTACATCACCACTACATTAGAAATTGAAATCACTCTACGAGAATGAAGAACTGTTATGCGATATTTTAAATTACCCATCGAGAATGATAAAACCTTAATCGAGAAAAAAAAAAGACTGATGTAGCAATATACTGAGAATTAAATATTAACTGTTGAGAATGAGAAGTTGTTGCGTGAGAAAAAAGAAATCACTATGCGAGATTATCGATTACTTTTTCTGAGCCGGTGAGCAACAGCTAGTAAGCGGAATATTTCTCTCAAAACGGCGGAGCAACTTAGTGCAGAATACTTTACAAAGTTTGTTGATTCTCTAAAGAGCACCATTGAAAGGGACTTTCGTTTATCACGCATTGTTCATGTAGGATTAGAAATCTGTGCCAGGAAGCTTTAGGAATACACAACAATGCTTATCACTGTCTCAAAATTCCTCTTCAAACCTGTTTGAGCTGTTAGAATTGTCTTTAGTCGTCTTATTAAGAAAGACGTCAGATATTTTAAATATATCATGCCTTTGTCCAAAGAAAAAAATTCCATTGGCATTCTCTGCAAGTTCAGGAGGGAGACCGGCGTACATTATTACAAAGGAAATGATCGAGCAACTGCGTGAGACTAGTTTAAACTGGATAAGTATAGGAACATGCCTTGAATCTCCGACCACAGGCAGCCCAAGCTCCAGCTGTGAGATGATCATCTTGCGAAATAGCAGTCATGGCGAAATTATGAGAGTTTATATGGGAATATTTACGACCGCTGTTGGGAATAAAAAAATTAAGTCAAATTCTCAATAAAAATACCTCACTTTACTTCCACAGTGCATCGCCTGTTATCTGACCGCTTACTATGTTTTCTAGGTTTACTATACAAGAACGGCTTGTCTAATGTTGCAAACCTAGAAATGGATAACTCACAAAATGGGTTCTTTTAAAAAATAACAAGCTGTCAGATAACAAGCGCTGCAATTTCATGTTACAGGCAGTCTAAAATGTGGGGCTAATGCACAAATTGGCAGACATTTGGAATTGATTATGATGGTTGACTGTGATTATGACTGATATTGAAACAGAAAACAATGTTTATTGTGCCAGAGTCACAGAGTCAGCTTACAGTAATTACACAATAGGATTGACCCTCTCTCTGACGATGGAAACAATGGAATTAAGCACTTTCTGAACACTGTGACGATCATTGAAAGTTTCAGTATTGAATTTAACATTTATCAGCGTCTAATCAAAATTATTTTGATATTTCCTTTGATGATAATGGAAGTACTTGTACATGATCATTGTTATCCCTCCCTCACATAGGAAAGTTTAATGCAGACGCTGTGTTAATTACAACATAAAACATTGTGAAGATCAACCAGTGAATAAGACTGAAGTTATGCTGTTGTGTTCGAAGCTTGTATAATGAAATGGTAATAATTTTTTTTCAATAGTTTCAAAATTGCACTGAACACTAAGAGATGATGAAAATTTTCATGCTTCACGATTTGTCTGGAGGTATAAAATGAAATTAATGACATTTTTTTAACGGCTGTCACCAGTATAATTGACCCTTAATGATAACTTCAAGTATGACTCCTGAATTTTGATGTAATCTTGATGGATGCTGTTATTTTCACTGATTTATCATCGAACCATTTTCACTTTTGTAGATGCATTTATTTGGTGGTGTAAGTAGTCCACTGAAATCAATGTAGTATTTAGTGCAATTTAAAATTCAGGCATTGATCTCCTAGAAGACACGTAATGGTAGTAAAAGCGACATGTCACCTTTTACCCCGAGTTTTCGCATTTCAAGGGGCTGACAATTTAATATCTTGTTATGTTATGACCACTTACACTTACTACTTAAAGTCTTAGTGATATTAGAGATCAGCAGATAAAATTTTAATTTAGACTTGTAGTCATGAAACTTGCATATTTTACATTCTTTCGAAAGGCTTTCTAACTTGTAACCAAACTAACTGCCAGTGAAAACTGTAATGACATTTGAATAGATATAAATTTGTGACCTAATTTCGGAAAGTTTAGAAAATGCCATCAACAGTAACTTGTATTCTGTGTTAAAAAAAAGCCTTATACCAGTAATGTGAAAATGTTATGCATAACATAAAAAATTGTAAAAACTAAGAAGCAAATTTCAACGTATTCATTTCAAAGCATTCTGAGTGTTCATTTCAAATTGTTCACATCTTCCATACTCAACAATACTACAAAACAGGCTTGCTCCTCTTTCAATACATTAGTGAACTCGTCAAGCAGTGCTGGGTATGATTCATATGTAGATGGAAGTTTTAGCAATGGTCTACATGTTCTGGCAAAAGGACATCAATGCTACCCTTCAAGGATAGCAAAGTGCACATCTATGTTGTGTACGTACAGTGATCACATCACTACCAGTGCAGATCCAGAGAAACATGGGTAAAGATTTGCAATTCAGTGACTCTATAAACCGTTTCAGTTGTTCAAAGGATGTCAGTTCTGCTTCAGTTGGTTCTTCAGCTCTGAATAACTTGTTCATTAATTTGGCGGCTTGCTTTAGTCTCGAGGGACTAAAAGTTTTCCTTACAGCATAATATCTTGAGAATTGGACTCCACCAGTTGATCTCTAAGAGTGATTAGTGACCATTTTCTCCTATCAGTATCCCCTCTAAAACAAACATTAAGATCATGAGAATAAGGAGATGATCACGAACTAAAGAGGCTCTTGGTTGTTAAACAAATTCTCTTTGTCAGCACCATAGGATATGCATAGAGAACAGTACGGAAAAAAAGTATGCTGATGTTAGGATGCAAAGGGTTAAAACACTTGAATAATATAAAAATTCCAAGACATCTTCATCATTAGGTTTAAAATCATCGCCAAGGCGCTTGTCCAATGTCTCTCTATCTTCTGTAGTTACAAATTGGCTAAGTCTTCATATCAACGTCTCTGAAGTGATAACTTCATCCCCATAAAGATACAAGGCCACAAAAAGATGTAACAAATTTACTAGGCAGTAATTGGCCCATTGGTAACCATATAGCAGAACCTAGGCAATGGCTTCCCACTATAGTTTCTGCATGTCATGCTCAATAAATGGGACTTTTTAATTGTTTCCAATCATCAGTGATGTGAAGCACTTTTGCCAAAGGCATGCTAAAACATTTAGAAGAACCTTGTTGCCTTCTCCCATCTCTTCTCTACCAGCAGTGGTTATGTTTAGGTTATGGTGCTTCTAGGAATGCAGAAGGAGGGGGGAACAAAACATTTGTTAACACTTATCCTCAAACTGCGACGGGTGATTTTTTAATCAATTGTTTCACTTCAATATCAATCTCCTGTGTAGAAGGCTTAACGGCCGATGATAAGGCATCACCCAAAGGCTGGTTTTCTTTTCTTTTTCTTTTTTTTTTTGCTATCATGGCTTAGGCGATTTTCATAAGGCTATCAGTTACCACGAGCGCCATCTACAAATTGCAAAAGAACTGGGAGACAAAGCTGGAGAAGGACGGGCTTATGGAAGTCTTGGCAATGCCTATCGGAAGTTAGGCGATTTTCATAAGGCAATCAGTTACCACGAGCGTCATCTACAAATTGCAAAAGAAGTGGGAGACAAAGCTGGAGAAGGAGGGGCTTATGGAAATCTTGGCAATGCCTATCATAGCTTAGGCGATTTTCATAAGGCTATCAGTTACCACGAGCGTCATCTACAAATTGCAAAAGAAATGGGAGACAAAGCTGGAGGAGGAGGGGCTTATGGAAGTCTTGGCAATGCCTATGATAGCTTAGGCGATTTTCATAAGGCTATCAGTTACCACGAGCGTGATCTACAAATTGCAAAAGAAGTGGGAGACAAAGCTGGAGAAGGAGGGGCTTATGGAAATCTTGGCAATGCCTATGATAGCTTAGGCGATTTTCATAAGGCTATCAGGTACCACGAGCGTCATCTACAAATTGCAAAAGAAGTGGGAGACAAAGCTGGAGAAGGACGGGCTTATGGAAATCTTGGCAATGCCTATCAGATGTTAGGCGATTTTCATAAGGCTATCAGTTACCACGAGCGTGATCTACAAGTTGCAAAAGAAGTGGGAGACAAAGCTGGAGAAGGAGGGGCTTATGGAAATCTTGGCAATGCCTATCGTAGCTTAGGCGATTTTCATAAGGCTATCAGTTACCACGAGCGTGATCTACAAGTTGCAAAAGAAGTGGGAGACAAAGCTGGAGAAGGAGGGGCTTCTGGAAATCTTGGCAATGCCTATCATAGCTTAGGCGATTTTCATAAGGCTATCAGTTACCACGAGCGTCATCTACAAATTGCAAAAGAAGTGGGAGACAAAGCTGGAGAAGGACGGGCTTATGGAAATCTTGGCAATGCCTATCATAGCTTAGGCGATTTTCATAAGGCTATCAGTTACCACGAGCGTCGTCTACAAATTGCAAAAGAAGTGGGAGACAAAGCTGGAGAAGGACGGGCTAATGGAAATCTTGGCAATGCCTATCATAGCTTAGGCGATTTTAATAAGGCTATCAGTTACCACGAGCGTCATCTACAAACTGCAAAAGAAGTGGGATACAAAGCTGGAGAAGGACGGGCTTATGGAAATCTTGGCAATGCCTATCAGATGTTAGGCGATTTTCATAAGGCTATCAGTTACCACGAGCGTCGTCTACAAATTGCAAAAGAACTGGGAGACAAAGCTGGAGAAGGAGGGGCTTATGGAAGTCTTGGCAATGCCTATCATGGCTTAGGCGATTTTCATAAGGCAATCAGTTACCACGAGCGTCGTCTACAAATTGCAAAAGAAGTGGGAGACAAAGCTGGAGAAGGAGGGGCTTATGGAAATCTTGGCAATGCCTATGATAGCTTAGGCGATTTTCATAAGGCTATCAGTTACCACGAGCGTCATCTACAAATTGCAAAAGAAGTGGGAGACAAAGCTGGAGAAGGACGGGCTTATGGAAATCTTGGCAATGCCTATCAGATGTTAGGCGATTTTCATAAGGCTATCAGTTACCACGAGCGTGATCTACAAGTTGCAAAAGAAGTGGGAGACAAAGCTGGAGAAGGAGGGGCTTATGGAAATCTTGGCAATGCCTATCGTAGCTTAGGCGATTTTCATAAGGCTATCAGTTACCACGAGCGTGATCTACAAGTTGCAAAAGAAGTGGGAGACAAAGCTGGAGAAGGACGGGCTACTGGAAATCTTGGCAATGCCTATCATAGCTTAGGCGATTTTCATAAGGCAATCAGTTACCACGAGCGTCGTCTACAAATTGCAAAAGAAGTGGGAGACAAAGCTGGAGAAGGAGGGGCTTATGGAAATCTTGGCAATGCCTATCATAGCTTAGGCGATTTTCATAAGGCTATCAGTTACCACGAGCGTGATCTACAAATTGCAAAAAGAAATGGGAGACAAAGCTGGAGGAGGAGGGGCTTATGGAAATCTTGGCAATGCCTATGATAGCTTAGGCGATTTTCATAAGGCTATCAGTTACCACGAGCGTGATCTACAAATTGCAAAAAGAAGTGGGAGACAAAGCTGGAGAAGGAGGGGCTTATGGAAATCTTGGCAATGCCTATGATAGCTTAGGCGATTTTCATAAGGCTATCAGGTACCACGAGCGTCATCTACAAATTGCAAAAGAAGTGGGAGACAAAGCTGGAGAAGGACGGGCTTATGGAAATCTTGGCAATGCCTATCAGATGTTAGGCGATTTTCATAAGGCTATCAGTTACCACGAGCGTGATCTACAAGTTGCAAAAGAAGTGGGAGACAAAGCTGGAGAAGGAGGGGCTTATGGAAATCTTGGCAATGCCTATCGTAGCTTAGGCGATTTTCATAAGGCTATCAGTTACCACGAGCGTGATCTACAAGTTGCAAAAGAAGTGGGAGACAAAGCTGGAGAAGGAGGGGCTTCTGGAAATCTTGGCAATGCCTATCATAGCTTAGGCGATTTTCATAAGGCTATCAGTTACCACGAGCGTCATCTACAAATTGCAAAAGAAGTGGGAGACAAAGCTGGAGAAGGACGGGCTTATGGAAATCTTGGCAGTGCCTATCATAGCTTAGGCGATTTTCATAAGGCTATCAGTTACCACGAGCGTCGTCTACAAATTGCAAAAGAAGTGGGAGACAAAGCTGGAGAAGGACGGGCTAATGGAAATCTTGGCAATGCCTATCATAGCTTAGGCGATTTTAATAAGGCTATCAGTTACCACGAGCGTCATCTACAAACTGCAAAAGAAGTGGGATACAAAGCTGGAGAAGGACGGGCTTATGGAAATCTTGGCAATGCCTATCAGATGTTAGGCGATTTTCATAAGGCTATCAGTTACCACGAGCGTCGTCTACAAATTGCAAAAGAACTGGGAGACAAAGCTGGAGAAGGAGGGGCTTATGGAAGTCTTGGCAATGCCTATCATGGCTTAGGCGATTTTCATAAGGCAATCAGTTACCACGAGCGTCGTCTACAAATTGCAAAAAGAAGTGGGAGACAAAGCTGGAGAAGGAGGGGCTTATGGAAATCTTGGCAATGCCTATCATGGCCTAGGCGATTTTCATAAGGCTATCAGTTACCATGAGCGTCATCTACAAATTGCAAAAGAAGTGGGAGACAAAGCTGGAGAAGGACGGGCTTATGGAAATCTTGGCAATGCCTATCATGGCTTAGGCGATTTTCATAAGGCTATCAGTTACCACGAGCGTCATCTACAAATTGCAAAAGAAGTGGGAGACAAAGCTGGAGAAGGACAGGCTTATGGAAGTCTTGGCAATGCCTATCAGATGTTAGGCGATTTTCATAAGGCTATCAGTTACCACGAGCGTCATCTACAAATTGCAAAAGAAGTGGGAGACAAAGCTGGAGAAGGACGGGCTTATGGAAGTCTTGGCAATGCCTATCGTAGCTTAGGCGATTTTCATAAGGCTATCAGTTACCACGAGCGTCATCTACAAATTGCAAAAGAACTGGGAGACAAAGCTGGAGAAGGAGGGGCTTATGGAAGTCTTGGCAATGCCTATCATAGCTTAGGCGATTTTCATAAGGCTATCAGTTACCACGAGCGTCATCTACAAATTGCAAAAGAAGTGGGAGACAAAGCTGGAGAAGGACGGGCTTATGGAAATCTTGGCAATGCCTATCATAGCTTAGGCGATTTTCATAAGGCTATCAGTTACCACGAGCGTCATCTACAAATTGCAAAAGAAGTGGGGATAAAGCTGGAGAGAGACGGGCTTATGGAAGTCTTGGTAATGCCTTTCATAGCTTAGGCAACTTTCGTAAGGCAATCGAGTACCGTGAGCGTCATCTACAAATTGCAAACGAAGTGGGGGACAAGGCTGGAGAAGGAGAGTCATACGGTAATCTTATCTTATACTCTTAATCAATGCATATCCGAGCTTTCGCGATTTTCATGACTCCAGCCTAAAATTGTCCTGGCAAAATCAAAGGATAAAAGTTTGTTTGAGTGTTACATCTACATTATAAATTTCAAAGTTGAAAAATTCTCTTACCGCTCGACCTAGTCTGCCAAAGGATTCCACCTCCAATTTCTAGGATTTTTCAAAGCCGTTTTAAAATTTTAGAATCCCAGAGTTTTGCGACAAAAGAGAATTTTTGCCTCTGTAGTAAACTGATTTCAGTTCAGCTACACGCTGTTCGTAGCTTTTGCGATAATTAATCGACAAGTTTATCACGGTCTTGCTTATTTAATTAATTTTGTCCAGATTTTACTTGGGACAAATTTGTCGGCGATGTGTTTCACGATTTGTCGGCCTTGGCCAAAATTTGTCAAAATTTAGTGATGACGAAAAAATCGTTTTTAATAAACAACTTTTTCGTTAGTGCGGAAAGACCCCATGTTGAACAATTTTGGTTGAACAGATATTGGGATTTAAGTGGTAGTAAATGTCCGTTATATTGTATACTGAAACCAAACACCTCAAAATAATAATTTCCCCAGCCAAAGAGGAGGATGAGGTACCTTATTACACCGGCAGGAAAGATTTGGCAGATATAGAAGATGCAACAGTAGACACTGAAGACAATGAAAAGACTTTGATCAAAAGGTATGGGTTTTTCTGCAACGACTCAGTTTTTTGCTTTCCCATGTTTTTTTTTTCTCATGGATGCACAGACCATTGTAAAAAGCAGGGTTGGAGTTGCTAGGAGGTGTTAACTAATGGCAACTTTTGACAACGTGCTCTGACTAAAGAACAACCCTCCGGACCTCTTTATAAATGACAGTTACTTTCTTTTAATTTATTTTCTATTTAATCTTTAGTTAATAAAGTTCATGCTTAATAACTGTAATGCTATTAAAAATTTATTACATTCGTGCTCAAATCACTGATGATCCTTACAATCTGATTGGTTCTCATTGGCACGATTTATTGATAAAATGCACCATTTTTTGCTCTAAAGTGCATCGATTCCCAGCTAATGAGAAAGCTCCACGAAAATACAGCAACAAATCAGATTTAACCGATTGTTTTAGGAAATCAATCAAATTGCAGAAAAAAGAGAAAAACAACTTTTACAACATTTTACACACCAGCTCAGTACTGGATAAATAACATACATGTATTTGTACCGGCTTTAAAAAAATCTTTATTCATTTAGCAACTGAATTTTGCAAATTTAAAATAAATGTAATGAAGTGGTAATTGAACTTTTGCCATGCACTTTTGGTCTGAAATCATACTGGTGATTTCAAGTCTAATGCTGCTGCACAATCCTTTGATTCAGATGTCACACGTATGATTTCAGAACAAAGTTTACTCCACTTAGTTCAATTATCATGTTCTACAGGTATTCAGGTATTTTTTTTCAGTGTTTCCATCAATAAAGGGGTACTTAATTATTATCAAAAATGATAGTGAATCATTTTAATAAGTTTTTTGATTTATGATTATAACTTGAGGCTATTTGAGTCAAAGAAAAGCAAATTAATGGAAAAGAAAAGAAAAATAACATTTATTAGATTTAGTTTTGAAATTAAGTGTCAATATCTGAATGAGTTTTTCAAACTGCCAGTTTGCCACTTGCATTTTAAATGCTTTGTCATTGCTTATTCCACTTGGGAAAAATATCTTAAAATGCTGGATAATTAATTTCCTTTGTATTTCAGAGGGAAAATCGGAGGTAAGGAAGACTCATGGCACCTGAGGGAAGCTGGTGCCTCTATCAAACTTTGCAGTGGAGCTGTACAACAACCTGTGCCATTTACATGTAGATGCTTATTGTGGAACCCCAGGACCCTCTCCCCCTCCACTGCCAGTGATGAGATATTGGTTAGCAGTGTTATTGAAATATCTCATGATGGCCCACCAGATCTGGATTACAAGAAAAGTTTTGAAGGAATAAGTTTTACTGTATCTTTGATGCACAGTGCCCCATATTTGGAGGGGTATGAGGTGGTTATCAAGCAACTGACTGACCAAGAGAACAATGAATGGAAAGAACTAAAGACAGAGAATACTTGGCATGGATCAGGTAACGTTATGTTTTTATTAAATACAGGTGTGAATAACTTAATGAATAATTATGATATTCCTAGGCTCCCTTTTTCACTGGCATCAATGTCAGCATTTGAGAAATGTGCAGCTGCCCCTCTCCTAACCCAAAATTAAACCTAACTTGTAACCCGAACTTATCAGTTGACTTAAGGGAGAAGGAGTAAGTGTGCACTGACTTAGATGCGGATATCTATCTCTGCAATGCATGACCTGCTGCACTCATGATGTCAAAGTAGACTTCTTGCTTCTTCAAATTTCAAATCCAACTTTAGAACTTTTTTTTTCGTTTACACTTTAGGTGTATCCAAACAGTACGTGTAATTATTGCATAAATGTTACATGAAGTCTCCAATGCATTTTAATCACTATAAAATAAATTTTCCTCCATAACCATTTTGTTGCAAACTTTATTCTTTGAAGCATAAATATCATAACGACATCTGTAGGGGGTAACTTTGTTGTTTGAAGACTTCAAAACACAGCTGAAGGATGCATTTCCAATCATTTATTTTTATATGCAGAAACGTCAACAGTTCCCAAGTGGCTTTTCCCATTTGCACAAGCTGTTTGTACAAAATCAGCAGTTTCTTCATTTGCTGCAGTCTGGCGTCCTAAGTCTTTCACCTTTTCAAGAAGTACTACAGTAGGTCCGGAATTGACCTGTATCGTGCCTGACTTTCCTGATGTCAGTGTTCAAATTCCTCAGAGTTGTGTTCCTGTTAATCAAGATTTCTGTGTGACAATCCAGGTATATGAAACTGTATAATTATATACATGGATGAATAAAACCTTTTCAGTTATGAAAGTAACATATTAGATTGGTGTAAGGGGATTGTCAAAAGCAAGGAGATGAAATAAAGATGCTATAAGATTACAGCCTGTACCTTCAGTTATTTCCATAGACGTGGCGGCAATATTGATGGAGAGATATCAATTAACAACTTTGAGCTAGATACAGGAGAACTGTGCATGTGTTTACATGTGTGTAAAGATACATACATGTAGTAATGTTCTAATCAGTAGTTTTGGAAACTATGAATTATTCATGGTACTTACTGTGCCCGAATGTACTCATGAATCCTAGCAATCCCCTTTTTAAAAACTGGATTTTGGAAAACTCACTTTAAGAAACAGAACATTTGCTTTTGTTTCGCTTTAATATAAACTTCAAGTTCAGATCATTCCTGTCAGTTGAATTGGTTATGTGTTTTGTACTGGTTTGCAATTAATGCAATTAGTGGATGAAGTTGAGCATGAAATCATGCATTATCAAAACTAAAGTTTGAGTTATCTGCCAAAGCTGAAGATCACGCAGACATAAGGTTTGATAGAAGAAGACACCTCCCAAATTTTCAAACGTTTAAGAACTCTACACAGACAGAGGGCGTTGGAAACTAAGCAGGGGTTCAACTCAACATGATAACTGCAATATCTGCTGCAGATATTAGGTTATCATGTTAACTTTACGCATTATTGTTTTTTTTTTTTTTTATAGAAAGTTCAGTGTAGAGTTTTTTTTTTAATAGTGCTTATGTTAATGCTACATTGAACTTTAAGAGGACATTTACATTATATACTATTATTAGATAATCAAATTTCATCTTGAAATTCACTTTTCACTTCGTAAAGGATGCAAATGAACTTTATGCTGGGAGTAGTTTAACATGTCCAACATAACCTGTTTTGCTTTTGAATCAAGGTACAAGAATTTCCAAGCAGTGAGCTAAAAGGAGAGGAAGGACTTGTCGGTCCAGTTCTTTACATTTCAAGCTCTCAAAATGTTACTCTCATCGCGCCTGTAACAATAAGGATTCCTCTCACCCTCCATGAAGGAAACCAAGAGTTGGCAGAGTTATGTCCTGGTGAACTTAGGATATTACACTGTGAGTCTCTTGTTGAACCACATGACTGGAAAGACATCACAGATCGACTGGATGAACCGCCATGTCTTCTAGATGGGAAAGTGCAATTCAAGGTCAGGCATTTCTCTAGGTAAGTATTTCTCTTCGGCTTTATTTGAAAAATAGTGCGCAAGGAAATTTAACAGTATTTTAGTTTACAGTCATACATGCATCTATTTATTTTAGTGAAATATAAATTTAACAATTTAAATGATCACTCCAGTATGTAGATTCAAGGTTACTGTGCCATGGATAATCATTTCCGTTGGAGTGCTTGAGCTGTATTTGGTTTTTTTTTTCGATAGATTCCGTCCAGTTAAGTTGAGGAGATCACGTTTACAATCTGCTTCAGGCTTCAATGAGTTTGTAAGAAAACTTTGCAGTAGGTCTAGGCCTCAGCATGCCCGATTTTTACGTGCTTGTGTGAGACCCGTGTACGTGGACATTTTGGACTCAAACTTTTCTGCTATCCACAAAACTGCAACATGATGTAAACCAGCAAATATCAAGGTGTATCGTGCCCTACATAGGCGAAGGCAGCTCTTGCGAACCAGTCTGTGAAGAGGAGAAAATTTTGGTATCTCTTTCTCAGGCAATCATACCCCAAGGCACAGACCAGAAAAATGCCTTACAATTTGTGAGGTATTATAACTATCATAGAATTTATTTTTGGCCCATCAAGTACAAAGGATTTCACGGAATACTTCTAGATACAGTCATGCTAGTTTTACATAGAAGTGATCTATTCTGTCCACTGCAAAATTATACATTGTTCAATTTTCAGTAACTATGTTTCGCTATGGTTTTTCTAGGTTTCTTATCAATCAATAGGGCCATGGAGGTATACATGTAGGTTTTGTTTTGACGTGATTGTCTTCAAATGCTCGTTTTCAAAGATCCGGGAGGGCTCTCGCCAAATATGCAGTCATTTTCGGTTGTAAGAAAATATTTAAAAGCGCGTGCTTTTCTAGAAAAAGACGAGGCTGGTGTAGTGTATGTTGGGTTTGTCCCATTTAGATTCATTTAATTTCATTTTTAACAGATTCCGCGAGAACGAAGTTTATGATATAGGTGGCGAGGTTTGCTTAGGAAGTGAGGGTGTTCCAGGAGTGAAGTTTTACAACCAAAGTCAGGAACTTTTGTGCAACGTGACCATAGTATTAGCATCTCAAGTAGGTTATATTTTTACAGTTTGTGGATTTGCCACTTAAATGCACTTTTAGCCCAGAACTAATATATTACTGATGCCAACCTTACTATAGTATATGACAGTGAACTAAAAGGATTAGTAACGCTGTAACCACAGGTAACCCAAGCCCCAAGTGTAAAATGGTCATCATGCGAAATAAGAGTCATGGCGAAAATATGAGTGTGTATGGGAATAATAACAACCCCTCTTGGGAAGTAAAACCACCGTCAAATTCTCAATAAAAATATCTCACCTTACTTTCAAAGTGCATTGCTTGTTGTCTCACCGCTTACTATGTTGAAAAGAAGCCATTTTAGCGAGTAATTCATTTCTAGGTTTCCTACTCCTGAGAGTGGTTTATTTTCCAGAGACACTAAGTTGGCAGCATGAGTTCTTGATACACTGATATAAATGTTTACACTTCCCGTAAACATTATTGTTTGCTAATGTTTCTTATACGCTAAATATGAAATTTAACATGACTGGGATAAGCTTTGCTGTATTCATTTCACCAAAACAAATCCAGCAAATACTTATCAAAATAAAGCAGCCGGTCCTTTAATCAAGTTCTTTTTTGTAATACCAGTGGTAATCTGGAAAGAGAGAGGTATCTTCTTGAAAACCGTTTTTTTTTGGGGTTAAATAAGCGCTGAGTCGATAATAGTCTTGCAAATTTCGTCATCAAAAGGTTTCCGAGGAAGATAATGAGGTCATTTTAAGGCGGCAAGAACCTTATTGAGGACAAATCACTGGAAACAAAATACTGATGAATGTCGTATAGGGAAAGAAATGTCCTGCCCATAGGAAACAGTACATGAACATGTAGGACCTTGCAAGTTTTTGATTTAAGTCTCTTAATATGCCTCTGCTTTCTTCTCTTTTTTTTTTTTTTTTTTTTTTTTTTCTTATTATTTAGCAATTGTCCTAATTTCCTCATTTCTATTCTCTTCATGCGCATCCGTAATATTGCGAATTTTCCCTCCTACACTTAGGTTCCTGTTTCTGTCACCTTTGATCATGAAGAAGGAAGCGGTAAGGTGCTGTTTTTGTTGTTGGTTTCGTTGTTGTTCGAATAAATACAATAATTATTTATTAGATCAATCACCTTCGTTCGAAAAATATGCAAACTCAGAAATGCAGGCCTTGCGGGTTTTGAAAATTTAGCATTTAGTGACAAAGCAACGTGTTCTCAACGGAAAGTCATAATAACCTGCCTTACTTCATGTGTTAATTAATCGAAACATGATTCCATCATACTCGAGGGTGATGGCCTATTGTCTGTTTCGTAGCAATAAACTCGATGCAGGCCTTCACAGTATGTGTGTCCTTCCTTGTAAGGCATTTGATACTGGAAACGAGTGAAGCGCAAACAGCTTGGGAAAGACACAAAAATGTAATTCTCTAAAATATTACTCGATTGGTTATATCGTTAAAATAATAGAGTAACTCTAAAGTAAGAAATCCTTCGCAAACTACTATTGCTTGACTCGACTGTCTCCTTATAACAGCCCCCTTTGTCAAATTTGTCAATGCTCATTGTTACTTAGAGGAGAAATTGACAAAACTTACGAGTATAATTCGTGAAGGTTGGGTGTTACCCGGACGATCACAGTCCAGGATCACCACACCATCGTTTTGGAACCATACGCGCCATAACACTTGCGTTCGCTTTCAACCCAGCCATCTCATTAACCCCATTATTGTGTTGGTATTTCAGCCCCAAGAGTGAAACATTCAATTGTAAAGCCTTCAAATTTGGAGTCATCATCATGCAGCCCAGTTGCAACCCCTAGGAAAAGGAAACGGCAATCTGCAGGTAGTACCGAGATTAAAAAGGTTGCGATGGATTATCCTTTTATTGTATATTCATCAGGTTTACATATTGTTGTTACACGTTTATCTATGGTGAAATTTGTTTATACCGAAAGACTGGCATTACACTATTTACACCTTGTTATAATGTGAATATTATAAAAAAAATAATGAATTAAAACAGGGCGCTATAACTAATCCAACACCCGTGTATCGCGACCAACTATCACCTATTCCAGCATTAACGGCTGGAGACTAGCTAAGAGACATTGTTAATGACCTCCATTTTGTATATATTTGTGGGGCCATACACCATAACACTCGCGTCATTCATAAACCCAGCCATCTCATTAACTTCATTATTATGCAGGTATTTCCGCCCAAAGGGTGAAACATTCAACTGTAAAATATTCAAATGTAGAATCATCACCATGCAGCCTTGTTGCGGCTCCTAGGAAGAGGAAACGGCAATCTGCAGGTAGTGCCGAGATTTAAAAGGTTGCGATGGATTATCCTTTTTATTGTGTATTTATAAGGTTTACATATTGTTGTTACACGTTTATCTATGGTGAAATTTGTTCATGCAGAAGGAAAAAGATACGCCAATCAGTAGGTAGTACCGAGGTCGAAAATGTTTTGATGGATTTTCCTTTTTATTGTATTTTTATCAAGTTTGCATGTTGTTGTTACACGTTTATCTGTAAGAAATTTTTTTTATGCAGAAAGACTGTTATTATATTTATTAGACATCCTTTATACCTTTAGCTATAATGCGAAGAGAATAAAAAAATAAGGAATTAAAACTAGGTGCTCTCACTAATCCAACACCCGTGTATCATGAACAACTATCACCTATTCCAGCATTAGCGGCTGGAGATTAGCTAGGAGACATTGTTAATGACTTCCATTTTCTAGATGATTGTCAGGCCATAAGCCGTAACACTTGCGCTAGTTCTCAACCCAGAAATCTCATTAACTCCATTATTATGCAGGTATTTCCGCTCAAAGTGTGGAACATTCAACTGTAAAGAATTCAAATGTAAAATTATCGTCATGCAGCCTTGTTGCAGCTCCTAAGAAGAGGAAACGGGATTCTGCAGGTAGTAGACAGATTGAAAATGTTGCGATGGATTATCCTTTTTTATTGTAGTTTTATCAAGTTTTCATACTGCTGTTACACGTTTGTCTACGATAAGAATTTGGTTATGCAGAAAGACTAGCATTTTATTTATTAGACATCCTTTACACCTCGTTATAATGCGAATAATTATTTTAAAAATAAGGAATTTAAACTGGGCGCTATCTCAAATCCAACACCCGTGTATCTTGAAGAACTATCACCTAGAGAGCTGGAGACTAGCTACTCGGAGACGTTGTTAATGACCTCCATCTTCTATATGTTTGTCGGGCCATACGCCAGAACACTTGTGTTACTAAGTTCTCAACCCAACCATCTCATTAACTCCATTATTATGCAGGTATTTCCGCCCAAAGAGTGAAAAAAAAAATTCAATTGTAAAGTATTCAAATGTAGAATCATCGTCATGCAGCCCTGTTGCGGCTCCTAAGAAGAAGATACGCCAATCTGCAGGTAGTACCGAGATTGAAAATGTTGCGATGCATTTTCCTCTTCAATGTATTTTTGTCAAGTTTGCATATTGCTGCGCAGGCGGTCCAAGCTCCAGCTGTGAGATGATCATCTTGCGCAATAACGGTCATGGCGGAATTATAAGAGATTGTATGGGAATATTTACGACCGCTCTAAGGAATAAAAAAAAAAATTCGTCAAATTCTCAAAAAAAATACCCCACCTTACTTCCACAGCGTATTGCTTGTTATCTGTCCGCTTACTTGGATGAAAAGGACGCATTTTAGCGAGTTGTCCATTTCGAGGTTTTCAACGTACATAACTTGAGAAAACCCAAGGCTAAACACTCCATTTCCGAACGCCCGATCAGAGAAGCGTAAAATTCCAACTTTACTGTATATACTGTACTGTATATAATGTAGTTTCATTTCAATTCACTACGAACTCAATCTTCCCCGTGCAACCGACGCTAAGCCGCAGTTCGCTTCAAAAATTTCCAGTTTCAGAAATAAGAGGTCAGAAATAGATGAGTCTGTAAAACTTTCTGAGCGTTTTATTTTATGGGTTGGGAAAATGGTTGCCCTGTTGCTGCAAATGTCTCCTCGCCCAAGCTTGACAATCTCTGGGGCCGACGATTCGGTATTGAATGATACCCAAAAGAGAAAGTCGCCTTTCGCCACAACTGTTCGCTATTCGCCAAAGCCTTGAAGCATCCCTTTTCTAATTTTTTTTATCCTCCCTCTGTTGTTATCCTCAGATAAATATATTGTTAAAGATGGTGAACCATCAGATTGCGAGTTGGAATATCTGTCCAAGGAACTTGGAGTGAACTGGGAGGAATTAGGAAGACGCCTGAAATTCAACCAAGCTGCCTTAACTAACTTTGATGAAGCCAATACGGGGCTGGCAAAGAAGGCTTTTAAAATGTTAATGGCTTGGAAACAAAAAAGAAGGCTGCGAAGCCACTTACGCAGTTTTGTACAGTGCCTTGTGTCATGAACTGGTGGAATGTAAGCGTCTAGCAGAACAGTTTTGTTGCCGGTAGAGATCGTAGGCAGTGCCTCTCCGTAGTCTTATATTATAAAGACTGAGTCGTTTCTCTCACATGTCTTTGTGAGTACTCCAAAGAGCGTCTGCGTCGAACATTCGCGCTTAGTAGGCCGTTCATTTTGACTTGTGCTTGAAGATAAGGGGAAAATTAGCTTTAGAGAATATATATTTACTCGTATTTTCGAATCAAGAACTGCTGGCTAAAGAGCATTGAGGTCGGCATTCACTCGAATGTCCAGAGCATGTTAAGCACATTACCACCCTGAAGCATCTCATTTAATATCTCACAGCTTTGCACAAATTTTTTGATCCTGAGCTTTTGTTTTGTTCTTGAAAAGTTTGAAAGGTCAATAACAATCAAATACACAATTTTCTCTTCCTCAGACTCAACTCTCATTATTCTTCAAGGTGTCAAGGTGGCTCCCCTCTATGGAAAGTTCAACAATACGTTCACCCCTGCTACGACGAGTTGTTCCCATCAAATAAGATATAGATTTGGCCAGGCCTAAAAGCCAAGCCTACAAGCAGGGCTCCAGTCAGTTTATTTTTCAGCCCTTCACCTTATTAAAACTCCTAAGCACTGGCTGTCGAAGAGTTAACGGGGTGTGGAACGGAAGGACGATATTCTCACAACTTGCAAAGCGATCAACATGCATGCTAGTCAGCGGTATTTTCAAGCAGCTGAAGACTTTCGTTGATGTTCCTGATGGTTTGAACGGATTGTCTAGGATATAGAATGTTTTCTTCTTCAGATGTCGTGTATCACGTCAGTATCAGTTGATATGATATTTTATTGCGCGTGATTATTAATTTCTGTTTAGATTGTATGAAACAACGGTAAACGACTTTGAGTTAAGATCTAGATTTCACCGGTCGATTGATCGATAGGTATACGCGAGATAAATAGTGAGTGAAACAATACGCCTGAATCGTATTGGATTCTCTTATATCTTCTCGTGATGTCGTCTTTTATGACTTTTTTTACTCCACCGATTTTTCTCGAACGTCTCAAACTCCTCTAATAAGTATAGAAAATTAACAAGATAAGTCACTTTTCAACTCGTTTTCATATTCAGTTTCTCCTCTTTTAACTGCTCTACCTGGAAATACCTCTGATGTAACTTCAAATATCAGTGTAAATGTCTCTAAACCAACTGTCCTCTATCCTGGCAACTCTAGCCACTGAAATACTTAATTTTTCTACCATCTGTTTCTTGCGCTGCGAAAGTTTGATTTTACCAAAGACAAGCTAGAACTAGAATGTATTTGTACATTTACAGAAATTGATCCAAATATCAATCAAATTTTATATTTAGTTTTAAAGTTGACTCGATGTTGTTATTGACAAATGAAAGAGGTTCAAAAGTTTTATGTGGTAGCCTCTATGAATTTCAGTCCTGGAAACGGGTTGTGGCAACATCACGGTTACCATGAAACACAACAATGCATTTCATTTATCTATACCACGTACGATACCTACGTGGACCCTTACCATGAAACACATCAATACGTTTTATTGAGAAATGGATTGATGTCATAGACCCAACGTTTCGACACTCCTGTCTAGTGCCTTCACCAGGGGTGATCTAAACGCTACAACAAGAGGTCCTTTTTATATGATCACTAATTAGCTGCCTTTTTCCTGACGGGGTGTAAATAGGTGTCAGGAGGTCAGCCATCATCATCAAGGAGCGTGGGCTAGCGTAATCTTAGTAATCTTATTTACCTAAGCGTACAGGGACGAGCTGCGTTATAAGTTCGAAGAACTTCATGGATTGGAATAAATACATTTATTTCTTTCTCAAAGCATCTGAACTGTGCCCTTGTTCTTGAGTATGGTTCGGGCACAGTTTTTCCCAGTAAGGACCTCCCGGCTGGCGGATAACATATATTTCATATTAAACTGATGGGGTACAAATAGTCTTAGCATGAATGTAGTGACCACGCCCACTTCAACACACCACTCAAATCGAGTGTAATTTTCGAATGTTTTACCATCGTGTACCTCTGAAATATTAAACTACAATATTGTTGGCTTTCTATTTCGCTAATTTTATAACTTGAGGGTAAAGGTTTTCCCTCATCATTTTTACCTTTTCTCCGAGCGGTTGCGTGAAATTAACAAGGCGTTTTTGATCAAAACAAGACCGAGCGAAGGGTCTCCGGCGATATCTCTTTTTACGCAGGCGCAAATTACAAATGTACCACCAGAATAAAAAAGAGAAACAAATTTCCTTTGTTTTGATTTGTAAAGTGTCGAACAAAAAAGCAGATTTAACCTCGTCAAATGGCGTTTCAAAACAGCTGTATCCTCCTCCTTTTGATTTTTTCTTGTTTTGTGAGCGTGAAAGCAGTAGAAGAGGGATCGGGAAACTCAGAAAGCGCTTCGGGAATTAAACTGCCATCGTTTACTTGCAAGATAAAAAGTAAGATTTGTGAAGTTCGTTGAAGTATGAAGTCTAAATAAATGCCTTTTTAAGCTTGTTTGCTAGATTTTTTGTAAACTTCCCTGATTCATTTTGCGTTTCAGCTTACTAATCTATACTATTTCAAAGCAATGTAAAGACGAAGACGGAGAAACATGAGTCGGTCCTTTCAACAATCGTAAACAAAGTGTTTGAGCAATCAGGTATACGAGGTGTAAAATCAATAGCCGCATATCAGAAGTCTTCAGAAAGAAAGTATTCTGTCTTCAGAAAGCTGTCAAGAAAGCTAGTGATCGTGGCGGAAGGCAATTAAATGCACTTCTTAGCAAGTTGAAACGGGCCCTCGGTATCGATTTAATATCATATCGATCTAAATATCATACAGTTTTGTATCTTTCTTCCCGTGGATTCGCCTTTCTAACGAGAATGTATGTTGAGTATTCATTGCAAAAATCGCTTTTGTTTTTTTTTTATTTCCTCTTTGGCTTGTTCATCATTTTGAAAATTCGTAACGGAGAGCATGCGCATTACGTGGGGTTAGTGGTTGCGCACACCTGGAACCGAGAAAAACAAATGTTCGTCGCACTGGGGAAAGAGTTTGATATGATTTTTTTTTCTCAGAGGGGCACGGTAACGAATCCTGCAATCTGATTGGACAATTGGCCGCCTAAATTTTACCACAATGGGCACTTGGGCACAGTGTGTGATGGTAACTGGACGGTCAGGGGTCCGGTCCAATCTGGATGGATAAAGTCAACTGCTAAGGAGGAGAGGCAACTTTATCTCACAGCAGAAGCAATGATTGGGGAGTCCAAAACTGTTATCACAAAGAGGATGCTAGTGTGGTGTGTAACATCTGGCTGGGCCGTTCAAACAGTTTTGCTTCACTAACACTGATGGCTTGATGGAGGAGCAATCTTACTCGATGTAGGATAGTCTCAATGAGGTGTAATTGTCAGCCGTCAGAAATAACCGTCATCCATTAAAGCTGCTCCCAATTTAGACCCTCCTGCGAGTGTCTTCCTTGTTGAGAATTGTAGTAACGTCGAAGGTAGCAGCACATTAGCACAAAGAGAAGTTATCTCGTAAAATTACATTGCATCCTTCCTTTGCATAATTTCCCTTGTCCTTGTCACCGACGCTCCTCCTCCCCCCCCCCCCCTCACTCATTATTATCAATGATTTCTTTCGCTCCCCAAAATTTCCGTTGCCGTAAAAATAAAAGATTGCAAAGACACCTGCATTGGTTTATCGCCCCAATTAGGCCAAGGCCATACACAAAAACTTAGATGTACAAAAACATTAAAATCACCTACAACTGTACTTCATGTCGCACACATGGCGATCGTAATCATTCAGAAAAAAATCCATATGAAGTCCACTCTATCTTGACGAATTAGAATTAGAACTAAACTTAGATTACAAGATTAGATTATAAGAACGATAAAAAACGTAATCGGATAAACACTGAAGTCGCCTTCAGCGCTCGAATTGTTGTTTACTAATGTCGGTGTTTTTGTGCCAATACACATCAATACCGCGATATTGTGAAGAGTTGTTAATAAATTCAACAACCGTCTAAACAAAGTCAGGTTGAAAAGTTTCGTGCCACACAAGCATTTCACACCAAGTTTACTGCAAACGTGACAATTATTCGATGGACCATGCCTTCAGAAAAGCTTTCTATCCTCTTTTTTCGGTTTTGTCTGAGGACTTGCGAAATCCTGCCGTGATAAGAATAAATTTCGAACTAATTGACAACCACGCAAAACTTAAAGAAAATGAACCATTCCTAAGATTTTTTCTTAAGTTTCTGCAATTTGATGTTTCCCAGAATTTTGTGAAGGCGTGTTTAAAGAAAGCTATATGGTCTGTTCGTTTGAATGTGTGCTTGTACGTATCACAGAGACATGTGATTCCGAACTTCCGGTTGTAGCACAATTCATTTCCGCTTTGTTGCTCCAACCAACTTATATTACCCAGAATACATCAGAGCGTTCTTTAAGATGGTGGAAAAATAAGAATGAGAATTTACCTGAAATAATGAGCTCAAAGGGAAGAGGTTACAGGGGAATCTCAGGTTTAATGAAACCTCTTGCGGATTGCAAAACAGAGGTGAGATTTTGGTCGACACATGTGTTCACTACGCCTAAGTAGTACGTGTAGTTAACACAAGTATGTGCGTTTTAATAAAGTCAGCTTCAAGATTGTTCAAGACTTGGTTATTCAAATGCTGGTGCACGTCGCCGTTAGGGGTTAGCTAGGGATTGTTCCAGTTTATGCTTACATGTCTTTTTCTACAGAGCATTGCTCGTATTAATCTTTTACCGTGATAAATAACTCAGTAGGAAAGTTATTATAAACCTAGAATTAAAAAAAAAAATACATCGAAGGCACTTGAGGTTTGGTTTGTTTATTTATAATTAAGCTTACATGTACATATTGCTAAGGATTTACCTTTGTTTTTCTCGACGGAAAAATAGCGATTACATGTAGTTGCTGCTTAAAATGAATTCTTTAGAACAAATTTATCTCAGTGGTTTTTAAAATTATTTTTTGTCTTGTTTTTATGTTGTTTTGTTTCGATTTACCCTCCAGCATAATGCAACTTATGATTAAATTAATTATGTGTAGAATGGATTCTTTGTCTCACCAATGAAATGAAACAAAAAAAAAGTCAATTGAAAGTCATATTTATTTTTGATGGCAGCTTATCAAATGATCACAGCATAATAAAGGTGTAATAAAAAGTACTTTACCACTGAAGAGTAACAACACGTCAGCTGTTGAAGCATTATGGTGGTGTGATTTTGGGAAGATTTTTTTGCTGCTGCACTTTTGGATGACAGAGAGTAACTTAACTGTTCAATACATATCTTCTTCTCTCTTCTTCTGAGTTTCAAACTTGGCAAAGTGTGCAATTCTGCCCCCTGATATGACT